ATATACGTTACAATACTATATAGAATCTAATGTGGGGAGCAGCTATAGGGTTAAGCCTCGGGCTGACCTGTTGGCAAAGTCACAAACAAGTCCCAGCTTAGAGGGCACAGTCCTCTTAAGCATAATTAGGCTTGACCGTATGACGCTCCCTAGCTCTTACCTGAGTAGCTAATGGGCTGAGGGAAGTGCAACAAGAACAAAATCAAGTGAAACTCACGAGAACAGTGTAACTATGGAAACCACTACCTTGTTTACCTCTGACTATAAAAATAAAGGCTCAGATTGCCTCGGGATCTTTCTCTGTGGCCTCAGCCAGGCACAGGAAGATCCACGGAGACTAGAGAGAGCTAGAGAGTTATGAACACTGTCTCCGTGTAAAACATTCTTCGCCGACTCCGTCCACACCTTTGGGAACCCCTGGACCACTGAGGCTGGACCCCGGCAATCTAAGGTTAACTTTACAAGGAATTTTATTGTAATTAAAAGAAACATTTCATTTCTATTTTCTTACATATATCATCAAGTATTATTAAATAAATGATCAACTCCATTTTTACTTCATTGGTATCACTCTAAATTACTTCTTTCACATAGTAGAGATCAATTTTAATAAAGTGATGTCTAATTTCCTACCTATAATTTGTCTATTCTGTGATAACTTTTTTGATAGAGTTTCATGTTTTTCCTCTGTTAAGGCATCAAACAAAGGCTAATGCAGGTTTCAAACGGACAGCTCTTCCATATTGTTTAGGTAATGTCAGTGGCATTTGGTAATTAAGAAGTACAGAGATAAATGATGTTAGTGAATAAAGTGGACAGTGTACAGAACTACAATTTACTCTAATTGCTCTCAAAACCAGGACAGGCTCTGTTTCAGGCTATAGAGCTGAACTGTTTGGAAGATTCATAGATTGTAACCTTGGTTACATTCATTCAGCTTTACACAGGAAAATAGATTTGAACATTATATTATCTATTGTCAAATTTATTCCCAACGTAATGAAGTTGATCTTGATTAAACAGAAGACAAACATGTTTGGCAGTATTTACTAAGTAGTAATTAAATTTTAAGGAGGACTCTGTTAAGAATACAAAAGGTCATTCTCTGAGCATTTCTTCAGTAATAAAAGTAGCTTATATAATGAAATACTATCTAATGAGAAAATAAGTATAATTTACAAAATATGAGACCAAGGTTTTGCTTGGGCCTAGAGTAAATTTATATTGAAGTACTTTTTAAGTTCTGTTGTTGGAGGCTTATCATCTTTTATAGGCAATTAAATGTTGGTAGTCCGCATCTTCTCACTCTGCTCCCTTCTTGCAGAATGATATCTTCTCCCACGGCTTCTATAGGTATAGATTTCTCCCTCTGGACTAGACCTCTTTTATACACACATACTCTTATATATAACTGCCTATTTAAAAGCATGGAAGATTTTGCTTAGGGTGTTGAGCACAAATTGCAATATACAGATGGTGTGTTATACAGTTGTACACTAAAAACTTATATGATTTTATTAACTGATGTCACCTCAATAAATTTAATTTTAAAATAATAAATCCTGTGTAATAAAAGCCTAATATGCTAACTCTGGTCATCCAGTTGTCCATTCAATCAATAAAAGCATAATATGCTAATGATATGCTAAGGCCACACAACAGTTCACTATGACCATGCACTGACCACTAGGGGGCAGACAATTGACCGGTCGACCAGTCGCCATGGCTTGCACTGACCACCAGGGGACAGACGCTCTGACCAGTAGGTTAGCTGCTGGGGTCCGTGCGATCAGGACTGAGACAGGCCAGACATGCCCTGGAGCCCTCCCGTGGTTCCTCCCCAGCTGGTTAACCTCCCATGTCCCGCCCCGGCCCCAGTCATCCACCAGTGGGGTCCCTCAGCCTGGCCTGCGACCTGTCACAATCTGGGACCCCTCGGGGGATGTCAGAGAGCCGGTTTCGGTGGAACAACCAGCGCTATGATATGCACTGACCACCAAGGTCAGACACTCAACACAGGAGCTGCCTCCTGATGGTTAGTGTGCTCCCACAGAGGGAGTGCCGCTCAGCCAGAAGCTGAGCTCACGGCTGGTGAGTGCAGCAGTGGTGGCGGGAGCCTCGCCTGCCTCCGCGGCAGCACTAAGGATGTCCTACTGATGGCTGGGGAGCAGGCCGAAGCCATCAGTCAAACATCCCCTGAGGGCTCCCACACTGCGAGAGGACGTAAGCTGGGCCGAGGGACCCCCCACCACCACCACCCCACAAGTGCACAGATTTCGTGCACTAGGCCTCTAGTAAACAAATACACAAAACAGATCTAAGGATATCTCAAAAACATCTTAAACTCGTTATGTCTAAAACTAAAAATCATGCTCTTCCACCTCTGCCTGATTCTCTGGTATTCCCAGTTTACACAGATGGCAGCACCAATGAAATGACTGGGTTAACCTGGACACTAACTTTGGCATTTCCTCTCCTTTAGACTCAATATCCTGTTTTCACCAAATTATCAGTTTCACCTCTCAAATTGTAAACGTATGCCTTTATCTTCATCTACACTTACAACCAACCACCTAGCCCCAGCTACCATCATCTTTCACTTATACTACCCAATAGCCTGCCCAACCTTCCCTCCACTCTTGCCCTGTCCAATTTCTTCATTTGTTTCTTTGTTTCCATACTGTAGTCAAACTGATCTTATCAAATGTATTCATGAAAACCTGTCCTTCCTAACCCCATGCCCAACTTTTCACTGACTTTCACTCCTAAACTAAAGATAACAATGTTATTAAATGAAGTCCTGCATGGCCAGCCCTTATTTCTTCAGCCTCATCTCACACAGTGCTTCCCCTCTAGTCTCCATGCTTCGGTACATTGACCTTTTTAATTTCATGAGGATTCCACCTTTCCTCCTGCCACAAGGTCTTTGAACATGCTGTGTACCATCTGTCCAGGATGTCTTCCCTCTACCTTTTACCTAGGTAAATCATTCTTGCCCTTCAGCTGTCTCTCCAGGCCATTTTCCCAGTCACCTTCTCTGACCTCCCTGACTGGGATCCTCTACCTCTCTCTCCTTCATGTCTCTTCTGACATTGATGATTGTTTATTAAATGTGTTGATTTTCCTTAATGTCTTTCTCCTTATTAAACTATAAGTTCCATGAAGGCAGGAATTGTGCCTGGTTTTTCCTTCCATTGTATTTCTACTGCCTGACACAATGCATGGCACATAAAAGGCATTCAATAAGTATTTGCTACATAAATGATGTGATAGAATCCAAACAGAAATTTTTCTGAAAAATATTTGTAGTAGATAAGACTAAAGTTTACTATATTTCATATCTCTATGTATGAATTACAGTAGTTCTTTTTTCCTTTATTAAAGTGATATAATAGAGACTTTTGGAAAGTAATCATACTCTCCTAAGAAAAGTAATTTTAACTTTTTAAGTAAGACCTATCAAAACACTGAGGTCCATTTAGCAACATTTCCTGGATTGTACTCATGTGCAATATTTTTCAGTTGTTGGATTTTTCTTACTCTTTGTACTCTAGTCACTTTTTCTAGTGTTATTTTTCGTCTCCCCTGGCCACCACATGATATCCTATAATTTTACAGAACCACACATCTGTCTTTGTTATACTTCTGTGCCTTTGCACATATGGTTTATACAGGTAGAAATGCATTCCTTCTATCTTCATTGCATGTCTGAGTCATAATTATCCTGTTTAAACCACCATATACATTGACTTAACATGGTTGAAAACAATCTTATATAGAAAATTTGCACAGCTAATTTATATTTTGACTGTAAAATTATAGGGAATGAGCCTACAGTAAATAATTGAGTCTGTACCACTCTTGACCCTACGCTTGATTGTGCTGCACTTTGGAGTCACAGAAATCAGTTAAATAATCCCTCACTATCTTTGTGAGCCTGGGTAGGTTATATAACTTCCCTGAGTGTTCGTTTCTTCACCTCAATAATGGTTGAAAAGTTTGTTGTGAAGAATAAATGAAATAATGTGTGTAAAATACCTAGCAAAATAATTGGATATATTAGTTTATTATTTTAAAGGATTAGGATTTCATGGCTCTGGAGTTTATAATAACATGCTTCACTTGGTTATTTTTTAAATGTTCGTAGTAAGTATGAAGATAATATTTTTTAGGTAAGCCAGATTGGAGCTCACTTACTACAGAATTTATACCTAACTCACTAAAACTTTATTTATAGCCATAATCCCTTCAGAAGTTCCTTCTGCTTTTAAGCTTTTTATTAAATGATTTTTAAGTATTGTTGGCATTTTTGACATAGTTATAGTGAGCTATGCAATAATTTTACAACTTGGTACCAGTGAAGCTAATTGCAAAATTAGGTATTTTTCTTGAAAGAGTAAAACAGCTAACTTGCAACAAGAATTTAGTAAATTCCAAAAGAGGTGAGCCACTTCTTTTGATTATTAGTAATGACTAGAAATTTTGACTGTATTGTAGACATGGTTGTAATCCATGGTAGATTATAAAAGTTTAAATTCTGTTTAAAAATATTAATGAGTTAGCATACCTGAATATTCTATTTGCAATTACTACTTTATATAAGTATTTTTTTCCTTGGATGGCCACAGGAAATATCTCTTTAATTTATCCTCACTTTCCTTTGTTATTATGAAGTTCTTAAAACACCATAATTTTCTGTGTTTTTTGTTTGTTTGTTTGTTTGTTTTTGAGAGATAATCATTCCATTTTTCTTAAAGACTGGGACAGGGAGAAATTACTTGAAGCTTGGATGTCCAACCCAGAGAATTGCTGCCAACGATCAGGTGTGCAGATGCCAACTCCACCACCAAGTGGGTGTAATGCCTGGGACACGCTCCCTTCTCCAAGAACTCCAAGGACTAATCCTGGGGATCTGGACACCAGTTTGGTATGGTTTGGTATTCAGTGTACTTCCCATAGTTTTGTGTTTACCTTTTTAATTGTTTCATAGACCCTCTATCATCTTCTGGTCATTGAATCCTATACCTTTCTTGAAGGATTCCATTATTTCATGATGTGGTAAATATTTCTTATCACAGAATATTTTTTTGATCTCTGAATTACAGAATGAAAAATAAAGGTTTTCTTTACTCATTTCAAAACAAAAAACATAGAAGAGTGTAGGAAAACCACCTACTATATTTCCACTTAAAAACTCCAGTTGCTTAGTTTTTAAACACACCATACTGAAATATTAAAAGTTGAGATTGTGATAGGCACTTTACACCAAAAATATGAAAACATATTTTATATTTTCTTCAAAACATTTATACTATGTTGATAATTATGTGTTTGTTTTAGTAAAGCTTCTGGAGTTTATCTAGATAAACTTCCATAAAAATGTTACTGAGAAACAGTACTGCCTGTGTCTGCATTTTTCACTGGCATAACATTCGTATACTGTTATAGGAAATTTTAAAGTTTCTTGAATGAGTCAGCCCTCAAAATTTGTGATAAATGAAAGTATCCAGGTTTTATCTAAGCCTTCTTAGAAAACAGAATCCTACTTCTATAATTTACATCTGTAACATAATGTTTGTTTCTAATAAGTCATTGTTTAGAAAATACATAGTTTTATAGCAGAGTTCCTTGGGTAGAAATCCTTGACTTGCTACTCTGAATATCCTGAGTTGCTATATTGAAAAAACAGTTACTCTGTTTTTGTAGATTTTCTGGGGTAAATATAGGGTAAAAGACATGATATTGAAGTAGTTATTTTGAAATGGACAATTTAATCTTGACCTGAATAGATTGTAATGATTTTTTTCTTGTACTTCCTTTTCCAAATGTGTGTAGTCACTGATTAATTTAATATATAAATTTGGAGTGTAAGAATAAATCTCACAATCATTTATAATGAGGTAAGCGTATTTGTTATTCAATCGAAGGTAGGCACACTAATTTTAACTTACCTTATAATTTTGAAACACTTAACTTTTTATAATTACTATATTAGTATTTTTGCCTTAAACTAATGGACAGATGAATGTATTGCACTCTTTTCAACATATGACTTTGTTTAAATCATTGCTCTTCTTCATCTCCAGTGTGACATTTGTATGTGCAGTATTTCTGTATTTGAAGACCCGGTGGATATGCCCTGTGGACATGATTTCTGTAGAGGATGTTGGGAGTCGTGAGTATGCATTATATTTCTTACTGCATGATAGCACTCTGATTTGACAAAAAAAAAAAAATTGTTTGCTTTTAATATTTAATTATATGGATTATTTTATTGGTTACAGAGTTATTACACTTCACTACTAAGGAAGAATTTTATTTTCCTTATTTTAACATTTTTCCATCTATTACTTTTGTGAAATTATTTAATTTAGCAATTAGTGTTATTTTTAGCTTAATGTAAGGTACTTTAGGGGACAAAGCAGGTATATGTAAATGCGTTTTCTTAGTATTTTAATTTATATTACAGCTCATGTACATCTCAAGCCTACAGCTGAATATCAACAATTTCTTATATCACAAGAATTTTTAAGCATCTATTTTTATGCTTTCTCTGAATTTTTGTAACAAGCAAATAACCTGGAAAATCTATAAGAATATGGATGTTTAAAATACCTTTTTAATAAATTCAAAGTTAAATGCTTCTGCTAGGCATGGTTGGGTATATATTACAAGTGGAAAACTTATTTTGCTTCTCACGTTTATTCTTCTTCCTATTAACTTGCCAAGATTTATACTTTGCCACATCCATTAACTTCGCTCTAATGTATTTTTCTAGAGAGGTTTATAAACAAAATGAAGATCAATATAATGAGTAGTACAATACTATGTTTTCTCTGGAGACTCATAAATATGCTGGCTGATGACCTACATGAAGCATGTCATTATTTAAGGAAATCTTAAAAATCAGAAGTTTTCAAACTACTCCTTTTCATGGAGTGCTGGGTACCAAGTTTAGGGAGCTGGGGAAATACCATGTTGGGTAAGAAAGCCAAGAATATGAGCAAATACTTATTGGGGTGTAATTGACATGTAATAAACCACATATTTAAAATAAATAATATTGTTAGCTTTGGCATGTGTGTGTATCCATGAAACCATTACCACAATCAAGATAATGAATATATCCATCACCCCCAAAAGTTACCTCATTTCTCCTTGGAATCCCTCCTGCCTTTCTTTTTTTGCCTCCTTATCGTCCCATCTCCAACCCCTCCCTCCAATCTGTAGGTAACACTGATCTTATTTCTGTCACTCTGGTTTCATTTTGAGTCATTTTCTTATCTGTTTTCCAAACCAGAGTATGAAGCAAGATTTCGTTTAGAGGAGGAAAAAATACTGCTTAAAAGAAAGTCAGAATGAATAAGGCTCTCAGGTTGTTTATTTTAAAACGTAGGCTAGACTCTACTCAGAGTCTAATTACGTAGGATCAAATCAGTACAGTTGATGCAGGCAAACTAATTGGCAAGGGTCAGAGCTCACATTCCAAAGTATTGTATTGTATTGTATTGTATTGTATTGTATTAGGAAGTATTATCTGGGTTCTACCAGGTTTGCTACTGTTGACCTTGGTTTCTATGTGAAAACTGAAACCTCTCCTCTTCCCAGGGATTTACTTGATATTTTTTCAACTTCCTCAGGCTGTCTTAGCTAACTCCTATAACAGGAACCATTTCCTATACTCACCACAGACTAGCCTTGAGAAGTTTATGGTAAGATTTAAATTTGAAAGATCAAATTATTGTTTTCTATGGTATCTTATTAGCCTACCTAGGATTCTCCTATGCACTCCTGCCAGGTAGTTCTTGTCAAATCAAGCACCAGTAAAACAGGTTTCAGGTTGGGTGATTAATATGTTAATAAAGTCATTTTTAAATTAACTGCAGCCTTTTCATATTTTGTAGGCATATAAAAAAGAAATGCCTCTGTCCAAAAATCAAGGAAAAAAATGTTAAAGTCCTTAGATAGTTTGAAAACCTCTCAATTTATTTTATGCTTCCCCACCTCCTTAACAGTCCAGCCAGATGCTTTGAAGCACCTATGCCAAGAGCTTAAATGAAAGGGAAATTAGTATTACCCACCCTAGAATATCATT